AATGCTGGGATTAAAGGTGAAAAAGAAAGTATTTAATTGGGGGCTTGCTTACATTTTCAGAGGGTTAGTCCTTGAACATCATGGTAGGGAGCAAGGCAGCAGACAGGAAGGCACGGTGCTGGAGTCATACCTAAGAGCTCACATCAAGAGCCCACATCTGACCAGAAAGTTGCAGGCAGAGACAGAGACCAGGCCAGGTCCACCCCCAGTGACACACTTCCTTCAACAAGGCCACACCTCCTAATCCTTCTAAAATACTCTACCAACTGAACCAAATGTTCAAATGTCTGAGCCTATGGGGGCCATTCTCATTCAAAATATCCACAGGCCTGAATTTCCTGTCCCCTTATGACTCATTTTGTTTGGTTCCCCATCCAGGAGTCACTGAGTTCATGTGTTCTTCTTTCTTCCTCTTTCTTCTTCCTTCTTCTTCCTCTTCTTTTTGCTTTACACATATGCACATCTCATTTAAGTAGAATTCGGGTTCCTCCTGAGCATAAACTCCTTCATTTTAAGAAGAGCTATGTTTTCTCTTTGCTTCTGAAAATCTCTCTCATAGCCAGCAAGGTCCCCACAGGTGTTGGGAGCACAGCACAAAGGTCCTTGCTCCACAAATCTCCAGAGAAACCAAGAATGTTAATTAAGCACACAGGATTGTCTTTCCAATGTAAAACCTATTTTTCCACCCAGAGAGCTGGGAATTGGAGGTGATTACCAGCCTGATGATCTGAGTTATCTGTTGAACCAGGCCATATCAAGCTCCTACAACCAGGATAGGAGGTGGCTAGTCATCTGAATGACCCTTGTAGCCAGAGGCTCCCCAAGCTCCCACAACCAGGACCAGAGATGGCTTATAGCTCAAATGATCTCTGCCCTATCTGTGTGACTAAAACCAGGTCTGTGCTTTTCTTAGGTCCTTAACCTAGTACAGGTAGCCTATCTCTAGAAGCCATCTTCTTGGAGGAAATGACACGTACCCAGAGTTGAGTTTTGATGTAATGATGTCTCTTTGTGCACCAGGGATTGTATTACACCAAGAAACGTTTTTTTCCAAAATTATACTGTGTTTAAATTTGTTGGGAATAAACCACCACCAGACTCCCTGAAGTCTTGATCCAGGCTGATGAAGTCAATCTGATCTGTTTCCATTCTCATCTCTTCAGTTTTCTTTCCTGTCTAGATACCTGCAGGGTACCAAGATGACAGAAAAACTGGGGACTTCTAATATTATGTTCTACTTTACAGACACACTTAGTATAACTACCTCTCTGTTAACAATGTTGCTGTCTTTTCTATACGTAGGAAAAAAATCTCTTGTTCTCTATTGTAGAATTTTGGGGGAGGGGTATGAGTCTAGCTCACCCAATAGAAATTTCAACTCTGGGCTTGGGCTGTACCTCAAAGGCAGGGTGCTTGTGCAGCATACTCAAGGTCCTGGGGTTAGTCCCTAGCACCAAAAACAAACAAATACACAAAGAAGGAAATTTCAAGTCCTCTGACTTTAAATTGATGATCTTAAAACCCGGTGAGCCCTTGAGATATCTAAAGGCCATTTCCAGTACTTGGAGGGCTTACTTGTGGAGCTCTGCCAACAGCTCAGAGGCTGACCCTATGTTCACAGACTAAGGTTTTTGAAAATGTTTCTTTAGAGTCTGGGGAGGACTAGTCAGTACTTACATCTATAAATGGACTCATTCATTCCTCATATGGGATACCCAATGGAGCTTCCAATAGAGTCTCATTACTATCTAGGACCCTCCCAGGGTGCTTCTCTAAGCTTTCAGGATCAGTCTCTTTCACAGGCCTACTGGTTCACATAGCACCTACTGGTTAGCTGTTGGGAAAAATCATGACATGTATAGTCAGAGAATCAGCTAGTCTCACATACACTAAAATATAAGGTGATGGTTGGAATACTAAAGAATACTGATGCTTTAAATAGTGCCTAAAGAAGTCTGGTGATGTTGGGAAAAGCCAGATTGCTAATCAAAGAGCTCTAACTAGGGCAACAATTAAGCCTTGCTACACAGTAGGTGTTGTACACAGTACACAGTAGACATACAACAACTATATTATTAGCACTCTTACCAAATTTTCTTAAATGGTTCCTTCTTATTGTTAGTGTTGTCTGCTTAATGAGCTGGGGCGGGCTATCCCTCCATTTCTTCAAAGTAGATTTAACTCTGGTCCAATTCATATTCCTAGGTTCTCTGTGGGATCAGGCTGAAGCTCAGTTTCAGTAAGATCACAACCTTGCTTAGTTCCCTTTCCTGATTTTTCTTCCTTTACTGTGCTTCTTATGATGGCATTCTCCTAAGAAACCATTTCTGCAAATGGTGCTTCAGGCTCCAGTTTTAGAGAAACTGTCTTAGTCCATTTTCTGTTGCTATTAACAATATTTGAAATTGGAAAAGTATACGGAAAAGGTTGATTTTTTGGCATCTGGGGATGCCCAAGACTATGTATGATATAGTGAGAGCCTTGTGGTGTCTCAACGCACAGTCAGTTTATGCAGAGAGAAGCAAGAGAAACCAAAGGAAGCTGAATTTACTATACAACAACCTGCTCTCTTGGAAACTAATGCAGTGTCAGGACAGAAGAGGCCAGGTGGCAGAGGCATTAATTAACCCATCTATGTAAGCACTGCTCACAGATCATGTGGTGGTTTGAATGAGAATGGCCCTGTCTTAGTTACTGTTCTATGCTGTGAAGAAACATTGCAACTTATAGAAGAAAGCATTTAATTGGAACTTAATTACAGTTTCAGAGGGTGAGTCCATTATCATCATGGCAGGAAGTGTGGTGTCAGGCAGGCAGACATGGCACTGGAGCTGTATCTAAGCTCTTACATCCTTATCCACAGGCAGAGGCAGAGAGAGATGAGACTGGACCTGGCATGGGCTTTTGGAACTTCAGAATCCAGTCCCCCAGTGACACACATCATCCAACAAGGCTACACCTTCTAACCGTTCCCAAACAGCCTTATTGTAGGACATTGCAAAGGGTGGGGGGGGGTGGGGAGAGGAAATTACTAAACTTGAACCAGTGTTAGAGCTTTTGAAGAGCTCTTGTGTGGTTCAGCTCCTCCAGGCTTGCAAAGGATGCAGTGTGAGGAAGGCCAGGAACTGAGCTTGACACTGGTACAGGTATGGGAGTATGCTCTAGAATCTTAGAATTCTGTACTCAGGATAATCAGAGAGGTTCCATTGTTGCATTCAGGCTTTGTTTCCAAGAACCAGATGCCCAAACTCTGAAGTATCTGCACAGGTATGCAGCACAGTCCAAGAGTTATGAGGCAAAGTTCTGACTAACCTCTTTCAAAGCAGGATTAAAACAGCAATGGGTTTATCATTGGATTAGTCAAAATAGGAAAGATGTTCCTTATTTATTTATTGTTTTTGAAGACAGGGGTTCTCTGTGTAGTCCTGACTATCCTGGAACTTGCTCTGTAGACCAGGCTAGCCTTGAACTCACAGAGGTCTGCCAGTCCTCTGCCTCCTGAGTTCTGGGATTAAAGGTGTGCACCACCACTGCCCAGCCTTGAAAAATTGTCTTAATCAGATTATCTGAAGCAGGAAGGCTCACTCCAAATCTGGGCAGCACTTTCTCACAGAAGCTGAGATAACAGGACATAAAAGAGGGAAACCTTGCTTTTTGCCTTCTTGTCCTTACTCTTGGCGGCAAGCTCATCTATCCTGTTTCTGCATCATTAACTCAGCAATATTAGAACTGACTTCTTTAGAATCCCAGTGCAGACTGAATATCAGCAGCTTTCAAGGAATCCTCTGGGACTCCAGTACCAAATTGGGACTGCTGAGTCCAGCCTTGTGGATCGAGCAACTACCAGACTTTCATCCTTTCTAGTGTGAGACAGCCTTTGTTAGAGTATTTGGATTGCATTCTGTGTGCCAACCTAACAAATCTCGTATGTAGTATGTATGTATGTATGTATGTATGTATGTATGTATATATGTATGTATATGTTTTCACTCTCTACCAGTTCTGTTCCTTTAAGAGAACCCTGACTAATACAATGAAGTAACCCAGATGGCTAAAACAACCCAGATGGCTCCTTCACACAATGACTGACCTTCCAGTTAGGAAGGGTTCACCAGGTTCATGTGCCTGGGGCCCTTCCTCTCCATGTGGCTTCTGCATGAATCTTTCCAAGGTGGAAGAGCAGGATTATTTCAGGAAAAGAAAAACCAAAAACCTCACTAACAACAACAAAAAGTTAAGGTTAGAGCTGGAACTGACCTGACACCTGATCTCTTCATTTTTCTACTGGCTCAGTGGAGTCAAGGGTTCAGTGTAGATTTCAGGGTAGAGGGCCATACAAGGTTATGCTATTGGGAAATGTGTATCATCGGGAGGAGAGGGAGAGGCACTGAAGTTAGCTGAAGAAGGGTTCTGGAGCTGAGGTGCAAGCCAAAAGTACTCCAAGTATTTCAGAGAATATGGATGGGTCGTGGGGTCCAAGACAACTTCAAACTTTCCCTGTGTAATTAAAGGTGTATGTAGACCTGGTCTGACACTGGTTCAATTTGCTATCCAGGGAGGTCTGGATGTGTGTGCATTCATTCTGTCTGTTACACATTTATTCAAATGTCAGGTTCTTAACACATGTGCCATTTCGTTATCCCTATTTTAGAAACTCTAATGCAATACTACTTTTGCAGGGTCGCAGCTAGCACCACACCACACCATTAGGCACCCTGTTTAGCCTTGTTTGTCATCAAGAGGTTGGGGGCAACAAGCTGATGGGCAGGAGGCGTCCAAAGAGTAACACCGCAGTCAGTTTGTCGGGCGAGCCAGGCAGTCGCCATAGGGAGGCACTGGCTGTCTCGCGGTGGCACGTCGTGAAAAGCAAAGAGACTCCGCCGCCGGGAGGAGTTGCACCACGTCAAGACCCTGCTACCCAGCCAGCTGTGCCACACCGCAAGCGAGAGGACCAAGGCCCTGGTCCCGCCCACCGGGCACACCAGCCCCGCCCCCGCCCGCCGCGTAGCCCGAGCTCCGCCCTGGGTATGGACCGGTCGGGCCACCGTCGTCCGGCCCCGCCCAGCACGGCCAGGCGAAGCGGAGCCGGCGTGCGGGGTGTGTATGTGTTCGCTGGGCGCCGGCTCAGCCCCAGGAAGATGGTGGAGGCGGCGGCGGCGGCGACTGAGGCGCTGCTGAGGGGGAGCGCGGCGGCGGCAGCAGCGCCCGCGGGCAGGAAGGTCGAGCAGCGCCGACTCTGCGCCGCGACTGGGGCCTGGAGGCCGGGGCCGCGCGCCGGATTGTGTCTCCCGGGGGTGCTGTCGCGGGCGCTGCCCCCGCCGCTGCTGCTACCGCTGCTCTTTTCGCTACTGCTGCTGCCGCTGCCCCGGGAGGCCGAGGCCGCGGCGGTGTCGGCGGCGGTGTCAGGCTCGGCCGCAGCCGAGGCCAAGGAATGTGACCGGCCGTGTGTCAACGGCGGCCGCTGCAACCCTGGCACTGGCCAGTGCGTCTGCCCCGCGGGCTGGGTGGGCGAGCAATGCCAGCACTGCGGGGGCCGCTTCAGGTGAGTGCGGGTGTTGGGGGGTGCAGGCCCAGCCAGACGTTCCAGGCCCGAGGCAGGTGCGGGGCATGAAATCGGTAGGATAGGGTTCGCCCCACTGATGGTCGCTTGCCTTCTGGCAGGGATGTGCATTTGTGGCCTTGGGGTCTTCCTGTGGTGGAAGGCTGAGAAGGAATGGGAACACTAGAGGCATTTGTTGCTGTGGCTTAGATTTGGGTCCTGAAGAGTGTAAAAGCCGGTCCTGAAAAAGGTTCTGTTTAGGATAAAGGAGGTATAAAGGAAAAGGTGAGTGAGCCAGTCCTTTGGTCATCCCAAGAGACTGGAGATGTCAGTACCTAGAAGAAGCACAGCCGTGGAAGTGACATATTGGATGGAAACAGAAGGGTGGAGATGGAGTGTGAGATTTTAGGATAGATGTAGGAGTGATTGTCATTGACAGCAAAGTGAAGAAAATAGTTTTTGGGTCCTCACTGTTGGTGGTGTATTGGAATGGGCTGTCTAGAGAGGAGATTCCTTTTAGCCCTGGAGTCTTCATAGCATGCACTTATGCTAGTTTGAAGCAGAATCTCTTGGAGAGGTCACTTATTAAATAATTAGCATTTATCTGTTACTTGCTTCAGTTTTGAAAAGATTTCTTGATAATACACACAAATAGATAGATTAGCCCAAGTTTGGTGTGGTCCACAAGAACTTAGGAATACAGCATGGGGAAGTTTATGAACACAGGATCTCAAGATATAAGAACTACGGGGTCATCCATAACTTTGGCAGATGTTTGTTGGCTCTTCCTCATTTGACATGGGAGAGTGAGGAAATGTGGTGAACATGACAAATTGGGGTTCTTGCTCCAATTGATCTTATGTTCTGATGAGGGATGACAGGCAAAAAGGAATGAGCAAGATAATTTCAGATAGCTATCAGCAAAAATACTAACAGGTGGTTGTACAGGATTCTGACCAGCTAGTGACATTAGAAGCCACTCATTTGAGTGCCCTTTGATCTGAGACCTGAAAGGGGCACAGGTAGCACCTCTGGGAATGAAGATGTAGAGAGTATGTGACTGGAGGGGGACTTGACATTGAATATGAGCGTTTGAGGTTAAGTAGGATTTGCAGATGTGCAGCTGAGGAAAAGATTTCCAGATAGAAAGAAAGATGCAGACAAAGTGCTGGAACCTAGAAGATGGAGTTTTGCAGGTGCCCCTGTAGAAGAGAATTGTGAAGGAGAAGTTTGGAATGTTAACATTATTGATAATGTTAGATCTAGGGGACTCAGAGAATAGTGACAAGATGAGCTCTTAAGTTTTATGAATGGAGAAACCAAGTAACTTTGGGACCAGTATTTTGTGGGCTAGTCTTAAAGTTTAGGATATTGTGATTTATGAATCTTGTTCATCTGCACATATTGATAAGTAAGTGCTCTGTTTTAGGCTGTGAGATATAATGGCAAACATGACAGATCTAATTTTGTTTTTGTGGAACTTATCTTTTAGTTTGGGAATAAAAATACCATAATGGAGCTGGAGAGATGGCTCAGTGGTTAAGAGTACTTGTTGCTCTTGCAGAGAACCTGGGTTTGGTTCCCAACATTCACATGGTGGCTCATGACTACTTGTAACTCCAGTTCAGGGAATCTAATGACACCTTCTTCTGACCTCCAAGTGCACCAGGCGGCACATGCAGGCAAAACACTTATACACAAAATAAAAATTAAATAATTCTTTTTCCCCCACTGAGACAGTGTTCTCTGTGTACCCCTGGCTGTCCTGGAACTCGCTTTGTAGACTAGGCTGGCCTCTGCCTCATGAGTATTGGTATTAAAGACATGTGCCACCACCACCACTTGGCTGAAATAAATGATTCTTAAAAGTTCTTAAACTTTTAAGTAATCAGTCTGTTGTAATTTTGCATTACTGTGGAGGTGAAACATACAGGAACAGAAAAAGCTAACATGGTTCAAACTGAGACTAAGATTCATCTTTCTGTTGAGATGTTCCTGAGCCCTGATGTTGAAGGGCCAAGATGGAGAATGAGTGGTATCATGACAGATTAGAGGGAGTGACTGGAGCAGAGAGAGCAAGATTGGAGAGAGAGGGTTGTGCCATGCCAAGTAGAGGTAGGAAGTGGATTTAGAATTTTGAACATTCACCCATGAGCAATGGAATGCAACAGGTTACTCAGTTTTCATTATAGGCGTATAAATTAGAGCCAGAACAGGAATAGTCTTGAAAGTCAGTTGACTTTAGATGCTTCCAAGATCAATGGGTGGAGGGATCTTCAGATTCTGAAAATCTGTGATACTCTGGTAGACACAGTGGCATTGTTTGTATTGTTTGGGGTAGGTGTTTAACACTGGATGTGAGAAGTCATAGGCAGCTAGCTGATGGAGACTGTTGGTGTAGGTCAGAGGCAGTGGTAATGGAGACATGGCAGATATCGTGTGGTGCTGGAGAGATAAAATGATTAGGTCTTTCTTTCAGGCTGGATTGCTCTTAGAAGAGGGAGTGATGGTAAGGGAAAAAGTAGATATTATTTTTTGTGATTGATATCATTTATAAGACACAGGGACACAGGAAGGCTAAGCTTAGTTTTATATGCGCTGAGTTTGGGGTGTTTTCAAGGCATGTGCCTGGCACAAGTGTTGTTTGGGGTCATCATCTACCTGTAAAAGGGATTGCCAGGGAGAGAAAAAGATCTGTGAGTCTATGGGAACAGTTCAGAGAGGAGCCTTTTAAACAGAGAACAGGCACTTCCGATAATGCCTCAAATGCTCTAATATGTAAGTGACTGTTACAGACATTCCCTTTGAGCTTGTTCTAATCGCTATCAGTGTACTTTCCTGGGCAAACAATTATGACTGCCTCTGACAATATTATTATAGTAAATGACTTCTGGAATTTTTAAGAGAATTAAAGGTCAGGAGAAGTGACACACACCTGTAATCCCAGAACTTTGGAGGTGGAAATAGAAAGATCAGAAATTCAAATGTCGGGCTGGTGAGGTGGCTCAGAGGTTAAAAGCACTGACTGCTATTCCAGAGGTCCTGAGTTCAATTCCCAGCAACCACATGGTAACTCATAACCATCTAAAATGAGATCTGGTGCCCTCTTCTGGCCTGCAGGGCCAGACAATACAGGTAGAACACTGTATACATAATACATAAATAAATCTTAAAAAAAAGAAAGAAAGAAATTCAAATATCAGCCAGGGCTATTTGGACTATATAGCAAGTTTGAGGCCTTTATGAATCTAATTCAAAAAAAAAAAAAAAAAAAGGCTCAAGAATTGCCTTAATGGTTGGAAGTCCTGGCTGATGACCTCTTCTTACCTCCATGGGTACAAGGTAATGCATGGTACACAATTCACATAAAATAAATTTAAAACAACTTAAAAACATATGTGTGTATATTTTCTCACGCCGATAATTGCAGCTCTTGGGAAGCCGAGACAGGAGGAACAGTTCAAGGCTAGCTTCAGCTACATAGCAGTTCAAGAGTAATGTGGGCTATTTGAGGTTGTTTCAGAAATTAAAAATAAGTAAATAAATAGCAAAAAAGGAGGAGGAGGTTGCAGGCTTTTAGTTGAATTATTTAATGAGGGTGAGTAAAGAGTTAAATGTTGCTGTTGATTACAGTAATATGAATCCTGGTTTAACTCCCTCCCCCCCTTTCTTTTCTTCTTTCATTTAAACTGAAAGGCATTGAGTGGATAAGTTTTTGACTTAATTCTGATTTTCAGTATAGTGCTGGGCCTTGAATCCAGAGCCTTATGTGTGCTAGGTAAACACTTTACCACTGAACTACCTTCCCAGCCCTACTGTGCTGGTTTAGAGTGGCATCAAGTCAAGGTGTGTGTTTTAGTTTTGTGTGTGGGCAGAGGTGTGTGTGTGTGTGTGAATTATTTTATGTTATAGTAAGTCACTTTTTTTTCCTACATGAAAAATGATTGGTTATAGAGAATAAGTTAATGGTATTAGTTCAATAAAAATAACTATAGATGGATGGTTATTGAGGTAATATACTTATTTTTTTTTTTTTTTGAGACATGGATTTTCTGTGTAGCTTTGGAGCCTGTCCTGGAACTCTCTATGTAGACCAGTTTGGTCTTGAACTCACAGAGATCCACCTGCCTCTGTCTCCCAAGTGCTGGGACTAAAGGCCTGTGTCACTACCACCTGGCAAGGTAATATATACTTTCATTTTTATGTGAATCTTCACAATTAAGTGATAATTTTTTTCTGCTTGTGACATTACTATTGAAAAATTTTTGGATGAATAAATATGCCTCTATTAATTTAGAGGTTAAAATATATTGTTTGTGAAATTCATGTACATTTAATTCTTTAAGTTCCTTTTGTGCAAAACTTTTGGAGGATGCAAAGGGAGTGAGTGAGTTGGGTCCATATAATTGGCTGCATTAAGATGTACCTTCTAGGAAAGGAAAAGGATTTATTTGCATTTATTTTGTGTCAGTATATAATGTAATCAGTAGTGATATTTACAGCAGCATCTCCCTTTACTTCAATTATTTTTCCAGGTATTGTGCCTTGAAAATGCCTTTTAGAAATTACCCCTTTTAATTTTAAGTATTCCTATTTCATAGGCAGGTAAACTGCCTATGAAGTGAGCTTTTAAAAAGAGCATTGTTTTGTATTAGTGCAGGATGTTTATTTATAGGCATACATGCCTGTCTAGAGGGCAGAAGATGATTTTATGGAGCTGGTTCTTTTTCCACATCTGCTCTGGAAGTTTAAATCAGGTTGTCAGGATAGGTGGCAAGTGCCTTAACCTACTGAGCTATTTCACCTACTCTGAAGTGTTCTTGGCTTTTGTTTGTTTTGTTTGGTTGTTTTGTTTTTGTTTTTGTTTTTTTTTTTCTTTTTTCATGTTGGGGATGGAAGTCAGAATTTTTCATGCCAGGTGTGTGTTACCACGGGATATACCAAAGTACAAAGCTTGCAGATTTATTGAATAACTTGCCCAAGGCCACAGAACTTCTGTGAAA